GTGCTTTTTAATGTGAAACTAATCAAATGGAGGAGTGAATCGATTGCAATTGTGTCAAAAACCAGACAAAATGTGTATAAGCATTTATTTATTATAGGCAGACGAGTGGGTGGGTGTTTGCTTACTCATCTATTGCTTCGTAATGAAAACACAAAAGTGGCAAGCTTTGATGGGATAAAGAGCGAGCATTATATTAGTGTTTCAAACAAAAGGATAGCTGCGAGATGGAAAAATATGAAAGTGACTGATGAGAAACTGAGAAAGGAAACAGACCCACAAAAACTCACGTTCATTCCTAATTGGTGAATGATAGTTAGGCAAATATCAAACGACATCTGTAAGCAGTAAGAGGAGTCTGAGGAAAATACATTTAGTCAATATTCCTCAATTCATTCATTCTCTGTTGACTGTGTTAGTCGACCCATTTATCTGTGCATTAGTGGTGGGGATTTTTTAGTGACTCTTTCTGCAAGTTACATTGTTACACCTGTAGGTGGTGACCAGTGAGTCTTCATGAGTCTTTATTTGTCATTCACCTAACTGAGTTGTTCTAAAAAGATGACTCATTCTGTAATGCCACTGCAGTGTGGTGCTGGATGGCGTGCAATGAAAATGGCATATGAATAATGGAATAGAAATAGCAGGGCTTAGGGCATCGCGCCGGCCCAACGCTTTAGGAGGCTCCAAGCCGAGCCCAAACCCCCAAATAGCAAGTTTGTCTTATTTTGTATTTTTTTTTTATTTATTAATTTACTTTGACTGTATTTTGTTATCGTTATATTTTTGTGTGTTTTGTCAACATCGATAATGAGCAGCACTTTTCTTTTTCTTTTCTAAACTAAAGAGGCCCTTTTACTCATTTTCTTATTTCTTTCTCATTTACATTTATTCATTTAGCTGATGCTTTTATCCAAAGCGACTTACAATTGCTATATATGTCAGAGGTCGCACGCCTCTGGAGCAACACCAATTAGTTCAGTTTACTTAATTTTATTATGCAAACTTGTTGCCTTAGTTTCATTAAGTAAGCATAACTTAATTGCATCATGTTGTTATTACTTAATCCATTTAAGTTCTGTCAACTTAATTCTGTCTGTGATCTGAGGAAGGTTACTTCCAGAGTGCATTGCTACGTGAATAAATTAATTGCTTTGTTTTTCTATTTTTGGCTTTATTTTACCATTACAGTCTTGTTTGCTATTGTTATTGGGGTTTTACAAGAGACAGTAACTAAAAAAATTGTAATAGTCAATTAATTAAATCATTAAAACATGTGTATATAATATATATATATATATATATATATATATTATATACAGTATATATATATATATAATAAATGTATTGCTTGACTTCCTTTGAAATCAAATAATTGTGATATATATTTCACGTTGCATCACTGCAATCAGGAAGAGAATTACAATATATATATATATATATATATATATATATATATATATATATAAAAGTTCCAACCAAAGGGAGCCCAACCAAAAGGAAAATTAATCACAATAGTAGTCAACTAAAGAATTTTGATGCTCTCCTAAAATTTGTAGGTGTATTGACAATCATATTCAAGATGACTATTTCAAGATGAATAAGAAGAATGATGACTAAGGAAGTGGAAGAAATTAGTGAAAAGGCTCCACCAATAGTAATGTGAGGGGTGGGGCAAAATGGTACTCAAACCAGTCAAGTAATGTTTACAAGGTTTTTCTGAGTAACAAAGGCATAGCATACAAACAGTACAGATTATTAAGAAATTCTACGTACGTTCAACAAATTATTGGACATTAAGTAAAGTTAACAAAAAAAAAAAATCTTAGTAAGAACAATGTTAGATTTTACAGGGGTTAAGTGTCTTGCTCAGGGACACAATGGTGTCTCACAGTGGATTCGAACCCAAGTCTCTCACACCAAAGACATGTGTCTTACCCACTGCGCCATCACCACCCGTTATTTTCCTTCCACATCTTCCTCTTCTTTTTCTTCTCCCTTTTCCAATTCCTTCCTTCCTTTTCTTCTTTTTGTAAAGTAGCTAAACACGTTTGCTCCTTTGATAATGTCCGCTCCTGTGAGGATTCCTCATTAGGCCTGTTCTCTAATTAATCCTCCTTGATTTCCGTGTGGCTTGCTCTCTCTTTTTGCTCTCTCTCTCTACCAGCCCCGCAAATCCTCACATGGTGGATTATTGCTTGTGGGTGGTAAAAAAGAAAGGAATGTTCACAAGTCATTTACAAGTAGTTCATGTCTAACGCCCACCTCAGGAATTGTAACACCGGAAAGACCTTTTCAAAGTCGGCCTGTATTTTTTTTTTTTTTTTTTTTTTTTTTTTTTACATGAAACAACAGCTATGACCTCTGTGACCATCAAATGGTTGATCCACCGAAGAAACAAGTATATTTAGGTTGGTTGGCTGAGGAGGCTATACTCTCCTGAGCGTAGAAGGCTTATGGGTCTCTTCTATGACTTATCCTCTAGTGCTGGGCAGCCTTTTCTGTGCCGAATCAATCTCAGTCATTCCCTGTCTGCTTCCAAAGCCCTCGAAAGGCTTTAAAGCCACAGAGAGCCCTGCACTGATGACCTGCTCACGGCTTCCAGATATGACCATCAGCTCCACAGCTACAATAAGAGACCCTCTCACACTTCACCCAAGCTCTATCTCCTGTGTATCCTGACATGATTTCATAAGAGTTCATAGGTATTTGTGGTGGTTTGGGTCCCTGCAGGTACATCTTTGTATTTTTACATAGACGCTGAAACATACATAACGTAATGACAGCATCTAAAACATGATCGTTTTACATATGAACAACTTTAGATAATTGCAAATCATAGAGTTAAGAAGTGGTAAGGTTTAGGGTAGGAGTGAGGTTAGGTGTATAAATACACATTTTAATTGTAAATTAAACATTTATAATATCAATCTAAAGGTTTTATGAAGCTGTTTACAAAAGTGTGTCTTCACACAATGCTTTCGAGTTCATTCTAATATGCTGATTTCCAGTGTTTGGAAAGTTCACTTTCTAGTTCAAAGTTCAGTTCACAAATTTTAAAATGAACTAGTTCAGTTCAGTTCTTACTTCACGGTTCTTTTTTTTCATATTTTGCTGTGCTAAGGCTATAGACTTTCATATTTTGCTGTACTATGGCACGAAGTTAAACTGAGAGAGCGTGCGTTCACAGACAATAGAATGAACGCATTCACAGTAACGTTCATCAATACAGTATCAGTTCACATTCGCCTAAAACACATGTTCACGAGTTCAACGCGTTCAGGCACAACACTGCTGATTTCTTACACAGAATGTTGAAAATATTAATATTTATGTGGAAATCTTTTTTTTTTTTTTTCTGTAGTCTTTCACAAAATAAAAGATAATGAGAACAGTAATAGATTACCAACAAATTCCTAAGAGGAATGCCCACAATATTCTCTGCCCTCATTAAACAACCTTCAGACATGTCTTCCTCGCATCATCCCAAAGTGTATCCTGGTAAGTCAGGTGGCTGGAAGTTGAACAGAAACTGACTTTGTGGCTTCATCTCCAGTCTTATGCGACTGGTTCCCGTTCATTGCAATGGAAGTCGATCACTCTTAACAGTAGAATTTGTAAATCTCAGCACTGGGGGAAACCATCAATCCTCCATATTGAGTGAGAATGCTGGCATGCAATTGAATGTCTCTCTCATTGCAATATACTTTAATCTTCATAATCCTGGGGTTTGAGGAATACTCCAATCCATAAGCAAGCGTTGCTTTGCCACATATATTTATTTTCAGCCCTCTATTGGAAAATGGCACTCAGTTGGAAGTAAGCGGTGCGCATGATGGTGGTTTTTGATCGATAACCTCCGCATCTAGCCACTGATTGAAATAGATATTTGCCGTGGAGTTGTTTCTCTCCATAATGATCTCATTTTATATTCTTGCCTCAAACAGTTCTTCGCCCTCTGATGCATAAGGCAAACTGTGCACATATAGCCCACCCAGCATAATCGTGCAAGATTGACGGTAGCAAAGGAAATGCTAGGTAGTTAGCTCTTGACATGGGGATAACCCAATGCATTCTCAATCTAGAGCGTCATATAGTGAGCCAACTCACATGGCACCCTTTAGCGTCAATATAACACGCTTTGGTTATGGTAGGTTTAGGTCTGGGGTAGGGTTAAGGTTAGACCACTAGGAGGCGCCGTCCGCCCCATATATATCTGCGTCTCATATTGACGCTAAAGGATGCCATGTGCTTTGGATGTCTACGCATTGTCAAAAGCGTCAGTATATGACGCCTTTGGATGAGAACGGACTGGATAACCATAATTGAAAACGTTACATTTTATCCATATTTTTTCAGGAGAATTTCTACCTGCTGCCTTTATTATGCCAATGTGTGGTAAACAGGCAAGGTTTTTTGACTCTACCCTGGGTCCTTCCTCATCGATACACTGGAAACAACTATATGACCCACCATAAAGCAAGACTGAATATGCAGACACTCAGCTTTCAGACTTTTAAAACAGCTCATTACAAGGCCAATTAAAATAAACACCTTATTCTGGAAAGCATTTGTGGACCCCAGAGTCAGAATATGCTTTTGGGCCAGGTGCCACTCTTTCTTTTATATGTAGACAAGGTAAATGCTGAATAAAACTCTCTTTTGAGGTTCAGGATCGCTTATTAACACAACCCAGCCTAAGGCCGATACAGAATCTCTTACAGATGGCATAACAGTATAGTTCAGATGCTGAAGAGCAGTCGTTTAATGAAACAGCAGGAGAAGGCTATAGTTTTTCCAGGGAAGCCATTCGGCAGTGTGGGTTTGAGGCGGTACATATGGTCAAATGTCTCTTTTTCTTGGTGCTTCTCAAGTCAGCGCACAATATGTTATTCCATGTCAGTCTAACTGGGCATCAGATGGGTTTTGATGAAGCACATTTATCTGCTTGTTATAACACAATACGATTAATACCTTTTTTTTTTTGTTTATCTCATTTGCAGATACTGCTGTGATTTCTGCTGCTGAAGCGGTTTTCTGCAAGCGGGGAAAAAAAAAGCATCCCATTCATTGGCATCTGTATTCAGAAGGTCTGGCAGGTAAGATGCATTTTAATTGTACCAATGTTCTGTAGGCTGGTAAAACACAGGACTCAATAATAAAGATGGGAAGTGGCAACTGGCTGACGTGACAGCATCCAACTCCAACTTGCCCTTTTGAATCATTAAACGTGATTTATCGATTTGACAGCACTAAACAAGGCATTTAATCACAATAACAATATATATTCTTTTAATAATTAAAAAAATAATAAATTAAATAATTTAAATTTTTTATTTTTTTTTGATCACTTGAAATTATGGCAGGGTAAGTAAAAAGTAGAATTCCTTGCCTGACAGAGCTGACAGAAAAAGAAAAAAAAAATCCTTTATTGTTGGGTCCTGAAACTTTAAAAGTAACAGATTGTGGACAAGTAGATTATTTTGTGGCACTTGAACGTGACAAGGGGCTTGGGTCCCAACCGTTGGGATGAAATGCCTTTGCCTAACCTTCTTTTTCATATGAAGACTGGTTTCTCCTTCTCTGTTCTCCTTCCTCCTGATCCGCTATGACATTTTCTCCCCAAAGGGCACATGTGAGATGAAATTACTCTGAGGTGTCAAACACGTCATCTCCCCATGTTTAAATGCCCAGTTTCAAATGCCAGCATCCTCAAGTGGAGCATGGCGCTGTGTTTGTTCTGGCCACTTGCGGTTCCTGTCACGTTTCTGGTTTGTGGTTCAGCGAGGAACATGAAGCAGAAATACTCCTCAAAATTAGTGTGAACGTGTAGGTAAAAAAAAGATAATACGTTGCAACGACATTGTTTTTTCTCTTTTTTTGTTAAAAACTTAGTACCTCGAGGCATACTAAAATTATTAGGTGTTTGGTTGCTGTTTTCCCAAATTTTTACCATTCTGATCCCTTCCTGAGCCTGTGTGCTTTCATCTGTTCCATCCTTCCATTTGCATAATGTACTATAGTAGTGCAACAATTACACACATGTCTGAAAGATAAAATGTAGTTAGAGACCATGATTGTGTGTGTGTGTACTTTTCTACAGTGTCAGTGTTGATGTCAGGATGTTAAAATGGTCTATCGAATTAAATTTGTTATGTGTAATTTCTTATGTTAAATGCTCTCTGGCTGGTTGCATAAACTGCTTAGACTAGTCTTACAATTCATCTCTTTTTTTCTTTAAGACTGGTCATAAAATGTAGAGTGGACTAATCTGATAATAATCTAAAAAAATAATTTTCTTCCTCTCTCTTTTTGTCTTATTTTCCATCACAAATATCGAAACATCCATAAATTTACCGGTACTTGAGAAGCAAAATGACAAAAAAACTTATATCTGCCAGTATTGTTTTGCCTTTAAATGAAGTTTTTTTTTTTTTTTTTTTTCTGACTGCATTGGCAATTCCTGCTCACTTTCACATTTAGCAGGCTACATCATCACCCCTGTCAATTGCGCATCTCAATTTTTCACTTTTTACAGATGCTGAAGACCAAAATAATGCATTGACATGACACATTGTCTGTTTATTTTTTGTATTTTTTCTCACAAATCATATGGTCTTTTCAATCACTTGCACAGCAGTGGGTTAGGAAAATTGAGAAACACCCTGTATGTTTTAATAGATGCAATATAATGGCATGATTAAACTATTAAAGACACATCTGCCATCCTAATTTCTTTTTAATTTGCAGAGGACTCGGCTGCATTCTGTGCTGGCTGATCTGATGGTTTAATTAAGTCATGTCCATAAGAGTGATTACAGAATGGAAAGGCCCGACTGGTCCAGAAAATACTGAGTCGCTGTGTGAACTCTTGTTAGATTGACCGCCTCCACTTCCCAATTCACCTGAAAGCTACTTTTACACTCGAGACAGCGTACCACACCTCCACACCTCCAACTGCATTCAACACCGGTCCCGCAATCAGAATGCTTGTGTCAGGATAGCAGAGCACGCTTCGGCCTTGATTATTCCCCATGTGTGGCGTGATGGCTCATATTGGTGCTGATTTTTACGCTTCACAAGGTGCAGGATTTTTGAATGGTCTTTAGGAGAAATTGTCTAGGTTCCACATCACAACACCATAAAGATTATGTTATTAAAGAGCTGATACTCAGGCATTTGTGTGGCTCTGAAAGCGGTAAAGGGGAAGATCAGAGATGAGTCTTGCTGAGAGACCTCCTGCCTTATATAGCTTCATACCTTTGAAATCAAGACCCTGCCTGGTTGGCTGGCAGGCATCCGCAGCTTTGCGAAACTGGCAGCCGATGGCTAGATTGAAGAACTTTGTCCTTCAGATCTGAATAGATGTTTCTGTAGGGCAAAATAATGCAAAGAAAGGAAGCTGAAATCTCACTCAGTGTCAGGAGCTCTTTGAAAACCATGTCAACTTCATAGCACTATGAAAAAAAGACACAAAGGACAGCTCAGCTGCGCTGCTACATGTGGCCACACTATTAGCTACCTGAAGCCAAGATGAAGGGATAATTAGTCCTGACTGACTGCTGAATAAAAGTGTGACAGGTATCCCACCACTGGTTGTCTTTAAAATTCTTTAAATTAATTCTCTGGTTGAGTAGTTTCATATTGGTTTCATGTTCTATGATCTTCTGACATGGTCAAATAGCAGGGGCGGTGATCTTTTGACACCCCGCGATTCGATTTAAAGGTCACGATTTGATTAAAAATGGATTCTTTTCGTAAAGTTATAAAACAAAGGTTTGGGTAAATAAAAGCCGGTCTAGAGGCCGGGTCTGTTTTTTTGTTTCAGGTTGTTAATGTTCTAAAACCGTCAGATCCTCTGCAGTCATTCTATTTTACAGTACATTACTCACCGATCAAAATAGGCTTTGGCGCCGGGCAAAAAGCAGACGATCTGACGTCTTAGAACATTAACAACCCAAAACTAAAAAAAACAGACCCGGCCTCTATTTGAGACCGGATTTTATTTACCCAAAACCTGTAGCCACACCAGGCGTGTTAAAGAGACAGGCGTCTATTTGGGACTCTGCTCTTATTTGAAGTTTTACGGTAATAAAAGAACAGATGTATGCTTTCTGCTGCTGCAGTTCTGTAATAGACCTGCAGGATGAATTCATCTAAGGATAAGGGTTCTTATTGTACTATAAATGCAGAAGCCCACGAGGAAACAATCACCTAGGGCAATTATTTGGCAACCTAAACTGAGGTTAGCCATTTCCATGGTTCCATAAGTTACTTACTATTTATGATAATGCATTTATTAGAATGGGTCATTTGCAAGGGAGAGACGTTGTGCCCACTGAGCTGTTTAATGTCCACATGACTCCCCACTCAGTACTCGAGACCCCTCATCCTGAGTAAATTACCATTTCACTTTTCATTTATATAGTCTAACTGTGCCACCAAGTTCCCATTCAGCTGATGAGAACTGCATAATGGCTGCAGCTATGGGAAAAAAAAAAAAGAAACAAACAAACAAATAAAAGAAAAACTAACTGGTAGCTGATTCGGTTACAAAAAAGCCCAGGGGGTCAATGATCTCTCAAGGCAGTTCATTTGCTTATAAAGAGATAAGAACATTGCAGTCTGTCATAGAGCACATGTGTCATTAAAACATTGAGTCACTGAGAGCTGTAGTTCATGATGGTGACTGATGGGGTCATGTCACATCGTTTACCAGAGGCTGACTTTACATCTCGACATTAAACCACAATTGCTTCAGTTAATCGTTGGCATTCATATTTAATACTTCCATTTGCTAAAGGGGAATTCTGTTTGCTAATAATGAGACACAGATAGTCCGCAATTACATATTTTACCATTTTTTAGCCCAGTAATTAGGACGAAAAAGTCCAAGAATTAAAACGATACAGTTGTTTTGTGTTGCTGGTTGTGACTGTGTGGTTGAACCGCTCAATGTTGAGATTTTCATTGTTTACATATATGCACAGTTTATTGGACCGGGTTAGCGAGGAGTAGGCATTTGTAAATGTTATAATTTGATAGATTCACCAGTGGCGCTTTCTTTTCAATTAGACATTTGCTAAAATGGTTTATGGCTTCTTCTGCATTCTGCTTTTACTTTAGCCCTAAAATACAACGTTATTATTATTTTCACAGTTACTACACAACATAATCTGGCACACATGTACTGTATTAAGCCATGTATTTAATCATGTTTATTCACAAACAAAATGTCAAATATGATATGATTTATTTCTTTATTTCCACTGTGGATGCACTCTTCTATTACATTCCCAGAGGAATTACATTGTCATGCCAGAATCCCATGTTTTATTTTTGAGAAGTGTGAATTGAACAGGTAATTGTATGTGTACAGTATATACATATATATATATTTTTTTTTTTTTTTGCCCTCAGCTTTTAGTGCGTCTCATTTTTCAGTGCCGCCAAGCTCTCTGTGTTTCCATTAGTAAGAACACAGTGCATTACAGACCCCATTATCACATACTAGGAAAGAGTAGGCCCATGAGAACACTTCCTTCCTCTCTCTGTCTCATTCTCTCACTTCCTCTCTCTCACGCATGCACAAAGTCACATTTCTATATATCACTTTATTTTGATGGTCCCTTAAAGGGACTCATCGCTTGATAAACTTAAGGTTGAGCCACTGTAGTCACTTGGACTATTTTAACGACGTCTTTACTTACTTTTCTGGGCCGGCAGATATCAATTACATTACAGACATAAAGGAGTGAGCCAGCTCTTAAATTTAATAAAAAAAAAATCTTAATTTGTGTTCCAAAGATGAACGGAAGTCTTGTGGGGTTGGAACAATGTGAGGGTGAGAAATTACTGACAGAATTTTCATTTTTGGGTGAATTACCCATTGTAAATACTATTTATTAAGTGTTGGTAGAGTATTTCTAGACTGTTAGGGTTAGAATAAGTTAACAAAATGACCTCTAGTCAGTATATAAAGTCTGTTAAAGTCTCTCAATAATGAGTTAGCAGAGTAGACAGTCTACTAATAATCTAATGAGAGTTAGTTGACATGTAGTTGCAAAGTTACTTATAGTCAACAGAATGTTCAAAAGCG